AAAGGGGGGGGGGGGTAAATCTAGATAAAACATATTTCCTACATTATTTTCTTACATTAGTCCAGTCACTTCTTTCTTGCTGACTCAGTAATATTACTGGATATTAGTAATAGAAGTAGAGACCCAAAGCAATATAACTTTGAAAGATATAAAATGGGGGGGGGGAAGGGGGGGGGGTAGGCACGATTAATTTGAAGGGAGACCAGAATTATTTTAATGCAACATAGATCTACAGTGGGTTGGAAATGAGAGAGAGTGATGTCCACGATGAATGGGTTGCTGAGGGTTTTGAGTAGGCTAGGAGTCCATGGTGGGTGTTAAATTGAAGTTGCCTACCCCCACCAGGTGGCGGTGGGCACCTACGGTGCCCATGTGGCGAAATCGTCACCTTCAATTTAACCATTGAACTGTTGACTTTGTTAACTTTTTGTGGTTGATGTTGATATATGTGATGGTTTATGTTGATATATGTGATGTTGACTTTGAAAATTATATCATGTACAATGTAAATCTAAAGCAAAATAATATAATTAAAAAACAATTTGTGTTGAAATGTGTCCGTAGCACGAATGAGGTCAACCCAGCGTGCTACTTTTCCCGTCAGGGAGGGCACGACTTATGTTGTTATCCCAACATCTTTACTTAAACCATGCATTGAAGAGTTGGTTCCCATGATAACAGCGATTATAAACAAATCATTATCTGGATCTTCAGTACCGACAACCTTCAAAGAGGCTATTATTCGCCCTATTCTGAAGAAACCGGATCTTGACTGTAATGAACTGAAAAATTATAGACCAGTTTCCAACTTACCATTTATTTCAAAAATACTCGAAAAGGTAGTATCAAAAAGACTCAAGCATCATCTGGAAGTGAACAATCTACAGGAACCACTGCAGTCAGCATATCGAGCATGCCACTCTACAGAGACGGCACTCATCCGAGTCCATCATGACATTGTATCAGCGCTTGATAAAAATTCCTGTATGGCCCTAGTGATGCTGGACTTGTCTGCTGCGTTTGACGTGATCGACCATACCATCTTACTTCAGACGTCTCAGGTTCTCCTTTGGAATTTCTGGGGCAGCTCTGGAATGGATCGAATCCTACTTGACACAGCGCACACAAAGAGTAGTCATTGGTGGGAGTGCTTCCGAAGATCTTGTTTTGCGGTTCGGAGTACCACAAGGCTCAGTGCTTGGACCAGTCTTGTATTGCCTTTTCTCGAAACCTATCGGTAAAATTTGTCGTGATCATGGCATGCTGTTCCACTGTTATGCAGATGACACACAAATATACCTTTAGCTTGTTATAAAACCGAACGAAACATGGCCAGATCTAAAATGTCGACTAGAAACTTGTTTAGCTAACGTGAGAAGCTGGATGTGTGCAAATCTTCTAAAATTGAATCAGGATAAAACTGAGTTTATCGTCTTTTCACCAAAGAGTCAGCTTAAAAGATCTTTCACACACCAACTTGATTTTGATGGTTCTGTCATCTGTGAATCAGATTGTGTGAAGAATCTGGGAGTGTTTTTCAACAAATCACTTACCATGGAGACTCAGATTAGCGCAGTGTCCAAATCCTGTTTTTACCACCTGCGAAATATTAGTCGAATTCGCCCATTCATAACAGAAGATGCTTGTAAGACTCTAGTTGTCGCTCTAGTTACATCAAGACTTGATTATGGAAATGCACTACTCTATGGAATCACAGAGACAAATATTTCACGGCTACAGAGAGTACAAAATACGGCAGCAAGGATTGTCACCCGAACTAGGAAGCATGATCATATCTCCGAAGTCCTGATATCTCTTCACTGGCTTCCAGTTAAATTTAGAACATATTATAAGATCCTTTTATACACTTTCAAAGTACTCCAGGGGACATCACCATCATACCTAAAGGAACTCATAACAGTCTATCAACCGTCAAGAACTCTACGCTCGTATGACTCCAAACATCTTGTGAAACCTCGTGTTCGCACGGAGACATACGGAACGCGTCGTTTTGACCATGCAGCGGCAACTTTGTGGAACGGTTTACCTGATGCTCTTCGCTTCCAGACGTCACTTTTAGCTTTTAAACGAGATCTTAAGACCCACCTTTTTAAGGTAGCATACGACGTATAATTTTTTATCTTTTGAACAAGTTATAAAGTTCGATTGACCTAAGTCTATCTATTTTGGCACAACCTGTATTGTGTGAAAATTTTAATGTGATGTCAATATGATCTTAGTCTAGCAGCATATAATTTTAGCTTACTCTTATGTTAGTTACGATCTCTTAGAATGATTTTAGGTCTAATGTTTTTATGATTATTGTTTTTATGATTATGGTGTTGTATTTAACTACTCAGTACTTGTATATCTGAAATAGTATCTGTTCAGCGCCTTAGAGTAAATCATTTTAAATAGGGCGCTATACAAATTTTATTATTATTATTATTATTATTATTGATGTTGGGGGTATGCCAGTTTGCCTGCTGCCCCACTGTTGTGTAGACCACTGTGGAAAATACCTGCCAACTCGAATAAAATATTAAACTTAAATACTTAGCATTTGTTTATTATATATAGGTCTTTGATATATATCCTCAATATCATATGTCATCATTCACCTCCTTTTTGTGAAAAAACTAATAAATGAGATAAGCCGGAATTTATTTATCCATCTATACAGTGTCGGTACTTAGTCACTGGGTTTACGGGTTATCTCCCCTTTTCTATGCATCAATGAAAGTGAAAGGTGGGTGATGAAAGTATCCGATTTATTTTTTTGGTATTATGAAATACCCTCCCACCTCAACCCTTAAGCTAGGGGTTAAGTATATACCCTTTCTCCTTTTGTTTGTTTAAATTACGTTTACATTGTTTTATATGGTTTAGCTATACCCAATTCATTAAAGTTGTGGGAATGTTATTGAGAATCTTTTTCTGCTGTGGGTTTTTTGTTTTTGTCTTTTCAGGTATTAGGGATTTCGGTGAAGGGGACTAACGATGCTGACCACAATTGCCTGCTATTTCCGTATTCTAGGACTTTTGGAATGATCTCTGGCCGAATACCATGCATGACAAGGGTCAACTTGGCGAATTATCCATGATTTAGAGGAGTTCGGGGAAAGACAGTAGACTATACTTCACAGTGGTCGTATTGGCGAAATCGTCACCTTCAATTTAACCATTGAACTGTTGATTTTGTTGACTTTTTGTGGTTGACGTTGATATATGTGATGGTTGATGTGTATATATGTGATGTTGACTTTGAAAATTATATCATGTACAATGTAAATCTAAAGCAAAATAATATAATTAAAAAACAATTTGTGTTGAAATGTGTCCGTAGCACGAATGAGGTCAACCCAGCGTGCTACTTTTCCCGTCAGGGAGGGCACGACTTATGTTGATGTTGGGGGTATGCCAGTTTGCCTGCTGCCCCACTGTTGTGTAGACCACTGTGGAAAATACCTGCCAACTCGAATAAAATATTAAACTTAAATACTTAGCATTTGTTTATTATATATAGGTCTTTGATAATGGTAGATTTCATCTTGACTTGTCTACTCCTCTTCAAAAATTTTTCATACTTATTAACTACAAATTAATTTAACATTTTCTTTACGCTTTTTAACAAGCATTCCCGATACTTTCTTTTTGATGTTGTCTTTAGGTCTTTTGTACACAAAAAAACTAAAAACGTGTACACATAAAGTTATAACATTTGAAATATCTTCAGGTAGCAAATTTGACATCTTATAGATACTGATATTGATATTTCCACTCTTCCTTTGTCACCAATTTTATAAAGTGGAACTGCTATTTAAGAAATTTGTTACTACATTGAAAGTGACAAACTCTCATTTACTTACGAGAATTGGCAAATAGGTATGGATTACATTCAAGTATGCCAGCTCTTTCACGAACATGTTTGTCTGCCAGGTAAATCAATGGTTTGCAAACATCATTTGGCAAAAAAACATGTACTCCCCGTCCTGTCTGCAATTATATTAATTTATTTAATACACAATGGTTTTTTTCTTTGCTAGCTTTTTTACTCATCATAATTACAAATAAAAATCATCCATGGTAAGATGTGTAATCTGATTATTACTTCCAAACTTACTGGACTTTATATTGTACAAGACATACCTTTCCTCTGATTTCTACGATCTCTTGTCTTTTTAGCAACTCCTTCTCAAATGAAGTCATCTCTCCTATGAGCTGAACTCCAACGTCATCAATGCCTTTTTTGCGAGAATGATAGGAATCCAACCTAAATGAAAAATTCAAAAAATGAAACTGGTACCAAAACTTTGCTAATTGAAAATGCTCTGAGAATATTTTTCTTGTAGACTAAACTGAAGTAAACTTACTTTAAATTCACTTTCTAAACATAAAACATCAGGGTTAGGTTTAGGGTTAGGATTAGGGTTAAGGTTAGGGTCAGGGTTAGGGTTAAGGTTAGGGTTAGTTAGGGCTAGGGGGGTTAGGGTTAGGGTTAGGGTTAAAGCATAGGGTATAGGGATAAAAACGAAAATGCCCACGGATTTAAGTGCCCAAGTAGGTCAATGAGAATTAAGAGATTAGGGTTAGGGTTAGGGTTTGGAGTAGGAGTAGGGCTAAAAACGAAGATGGCCAATTTAGGTCATGGCCAATCTAGGTCAATTGAAAGTGAAAGTGAAAGTCTTGGAGAGAAAGTGAAAGTGAAAGTCACTGATAGTAGCAATAGTAAAGGAAAAAGTAGAATTTCCCGAAATTCATAACTCTCTTATTTATCATCGGATCAAGACCAGTTTGGTTCGTTGGAAAGCTAAGAAACCGAACAACACGATCAACTCAGTGTCATAAAACATAGGTGTCAGGAAAAGGGAGAAAAATGGCTTCTTCTTTATACCGCACAATTTCAGATTTTTTGACCATTTTCAACCTCCCAGATCTCGCGAATGGTATGCAATTGACACATCAATATTATGTCAGTGAGACACACTAAAAAGGACTCTTGGTAGCTGCAAAGAGTTGGCAAAACTGCTTTCTCTCTCTAAAGATATGAAGGACTAAACATGCGGAAAATGTACACAAGTCTTAGAAAGTTTGAAACAGGGATTGAACAAGTTAAAGTGGTCAGATCTCGACAACCTGCACGTTGCCGAGGAAGTTTCAGTAGGAGCTGCTCATGTGCACCCCAAAACGGTTATGCTCGGAGACTGGGTAAAATTGCGTTCCGCGCTAAGTTCTTTTTCCGGGCGATAGAGCTTAAACAGTGCAAGATAGAGGCCCTAAACTCTTACATTAAAGATGAAAAAGACCTCAAGGAAACCACACACCGAAGCCCAGCCTGCTAGTCCCAAGGGCGTGCAACCTATGGGCATTTGAAGAAAAAGTGCCGTAATTCCGGTGGGACAGGAAGCCGACGTCCTCAGTAGTCGAAAAATTGGGACGAAAGGGAACTCTTCTTCTCATTAAGGGTTTTGTAAGGGTCTAAATACCCTACCTGAACCTCTCTCGCTGAAATGCCCCAAAACTGCTCCAAATGGGTGGCAAAAAGACGCCAAATTGAAAGGTATGTAAATATCTTAGTTTTCAAGAAATTTTCAAAGTCTTGGTGTCATTAGAAAGCTCTTGACAAGTTCTGTCTACGATCCGAAGATAGCTGTTAAAGATCAAAAACGGGGAAAGTTGCGAGGGTTGAAAGATGTCTGCATAAGCCGGGTGCGTACACCTAGGCAATATTTGCTCTAAAAAGCCCAGAAAAATGGCTTGAGCTTTCTACACTTTATGGCATTCGATAGACCTTGTCAAGAGCTTTCCGACAAGCCAGAGAACCTGAAAATCAGTCTGACAATAAAGATTTTTTGCCGTCTGCAAGCCTTTTGAAAATATCGCTTGTTATTCGACTTTCTGCTCTCTTGAACGACAACTTCATGTCGCCAGCGTATAGCACTCTTCAAGACCTTTCCAACGACACAAAGAACGTTAACGTCGGAACTGTTAGTCAAAAGGCAGGGTTAAGGCTAGGGGTTAGCGTGCCTACCATCTGTAGTAACTTATAGTACCACTTTATTAGCATTTTGTAATTCATAGCTGGCATTTTTGTCATTTTTGGCATACCACCTAATTGGCATTCTCTAACTTATAGCTGGCATCTTTGGCATTTTGTAACTTATAGTACCATTTTATTGGCATTTTGTAATTCATAGTTAGCGTCCCTACCATCTGTAGTAACTTGTGGTACCACCTTATTGGCATTTTGTAATTCATAGCTCGCATTTTTGGCATTTTGTTAAGTTATAGCTGGCATTTTTGGCATACCACCCAAATTAGCGTCCCGTACCAACTTTTGTCCTTTTGTTAGCGTCCCGTACCAACTTTTGTCCTTTTGTTAGCGTCCCGTACCAACTTCTGTCCTTTTGTTAGCGTCCCGTACCAACTTTTGTCACTTATACTTTGAGCCCCGGGGGTTAGGTTTGATTTTTCGAGGGGGGTCATGGGCTTTCGAATCCGTCCCTATTGAAACAATATTTGACGTTGTTCAAGTTATTTTTCCTTGTAGGAATAGTGTTCTGGACAAAATTCCAAAAATATAACTTAAACTTTTTGTCCACATTTTTAAAGGGGGTTACAACAGAAACCTATGGTTTAGAGTGGTAGCCGTAACCCCCCTGGCGGTTCACACCAAAACGCCCTCTAACCCCCAGCAAGAAAAAATGTTGGCCCCACATGCTGACCAAAATTAGCAAAAGTTAGGGTAAGTCCAATGACTCGTCTATTTCTGCACGGATTTAATCCAAATTTGGCACAAATATGTAAAAGTGGCCTTTGTATACCCTCCTGGTTTTATTTCTGAAATATCAATGGAATTTTTCAAAAAAATTGAGATTTTCTAAATTTTGGGATTAAGTTACAAACAGAAATCGCCCTAACCACGGGGTCTGTATTTTCCTTATCTCAGGTGATATCAATTGTATCGTGAT